CTATGTCTATAGCCGATATTAGGGACAAAATTTTGACATGAATTTTGACCAAAAAATATGTTTCCGGATTTAAATGCCGATTTAAACTAGAGGCAAAACCATGAAGAAAAATATAAATCTTGTGAAAATCGGATGATTTTTGACCGAGTTATGGGGTTGGGAAATTTCGCCCTATGTCTATAGCCGATATTAGGGACAAAATTTTGACATGAATTTTAACCAAAAAATATGTTTCCAGATTTAAATGCCGATTTAAACTAGAGGCAAAACCATGAAGAAAACTATAAATCTGGTGAAAATCGGATGATTTTTGACTGAGTTATGGGGTTGGGAAATTTCGACCTACTTTATATAGGATATTTGGGGCAACATTTTGACATGAATTTTGACCAAAAAATATGTTTCCGGATTTAAATGCCGATTTAAACTAGAGGCAAAACCATGAAGAAAAATATAAATCTTGTGAAAATCGGATGATTTTTGACCGAGTTATGGGGTTGGGAAATTTCGCCCTATGTCTATAGCCGATATTAGGGACAAAATTTTGACATGAATTTTGACCAAAAAATATGTTTCCAGATTTAAATGCCGATTTAAACTAGAGGCAAAACCATGAAGAAAACTATAAATCTGGTGAAAATCGGATGATTTTTGACCGAGTTATGGGGTTGCGAAATTTCGCCCTATGTCTATAGCCGATATTAGGGACAAAATTTTGACATGAATTTTGACCAAAAAATATGTTTCCGGATTTAAATGCCGATTTAAACTAGAGGCAAAACCATGAAGAAAAATATAAATCTTGTGAAAATCGGATGATTTTTGACCGAGTTATGGGGTTGGGAAATTTCGCCCTATGTCTATAGCCGATATTAGGGACAAAATTTTGACATGAATTTTAACCAAAAAATATGTTTCCAGATTTAAATGCCGATTTAAACTAGAGGCAAAACCATGAAGAAAACTATAAATCTGGTGAAAATCGGATGATTTTTGACCGAGTTATGGGGTTGCGAAATTTCGCCATTTGTCTATAGCCGATATTAGGGACAAAATTTTGACATGAATTTTGACCAAAAAATATGTTTCCGGATTTAAATGCCGATTTAAACTAGAGGCAAAACCACGAAGAAAAATATAAATCTTGTGAAAATCGGATGATTTTGACCGAGTTATGGGGTTGGGAAATTTCGACCCATGTCTATAACAGATATTGGGGGGCAACATTTTGACATGAATTTTGACCAAAAAATATGTTTCCAGATTTTAATGCCGATTTAAACTAGAGGCAAAACAATGAAGAAAACTATAAATCTGGTGAAAATCGGATGATTTTTGACTGAATTATGGGGTTGGGAAATTTCGACCTACTTTATATAGGATATTTGGGGCAACATTTTGACATGAATTTTGACCAAAAAATATGTTTCCGGATTTAAATGCCGATTTAAACTAGAGGCAAAACCATGAAGAAAAATATAAATCTTGTGAAAATCGGATGATTTTTGACCGAGTTATGGGGTTGGGAAATTTCGCCCTATGTCTATAGCCGATATTAGGGACAAAATTTTGACATAAATTTTGACCAAAAAATATGTTTCCAGATTTAAATGCCGATTTAAACTAGAGGCAAAACCATGAAGAAAAATATAAATCTTGTGAAAATCGGATGATTTTTGACTGAGTTATGGCGTTGGGAAATTTCGACCAACTTTATATAGGATATTTGGGGCAACATTTTGACATGAATTTTGACCAAAAAATATGTTTCCAGATTTAAATGCCGATTTAAACTAGAGGCAAAACAATGAAGAAAAATATAAATCTTGTGATAATCGGATTATTTTTGACCGAGTTATAGGGTTGGGAAATTTCGACCCATGTCTATAACAGATATTGGGGGCAACATTTTGACATGAATTTTGACCAAAAAATATGTTTCCAGATTTAAATGCCGATTTAAACTAGAGGCAAAACCATGAACAAAAATATAAATCTTGTGAAAATCGGATGATTTTTGACCGAGTTGTGGAGTTGGGAAATTTCGACTTATGTCTATAGCCGATACCAGGGACAAAATTTTGACATGAATTTTGACCAAAAAATATGTTTCCAGATTTTAATGCCGATTTAAACTAGAGGCAAAACCACGAAAAAAAATATAAATCTGGTGAAAATCGGATGATTTTTGACTGAGTTATGGGGCTGGGAAATATCGCCCTATGTCTATAGCCGATATTAGGGACAAAATTTTGACATGAATTTTGACCAAAAAATATGTTTCCGGATTTAAATGCCGATTTAAACTAGAGGCAAAACCATGAACAAAAATATAAATCTTGTGAAAATCGGATGATTTTTGACCGAGTTGTGGAGTTGGGAAATTTCGACTTATGTCTATAGCCGATATCAGGGACAAAATTTTGACATGAATTTTGACCAAAAAATATGTTTCCAGATTTTAATGCCGATTTAAACTAGAGGCAAAACCATGAAGAAAAATATAAATCTGGTGAAAATCAGATGATTTTTGACTGAGTTATGGGGTTGGGAAATTTCCACCTACTTTATATAGGATATTTGGGGCAACATTTTGACATGAATTTTGACCAAAAAATATGTTTCCGGATTTAAATGCCGATTTAAACTAGAGGCAAAACCATGAAGAAAAATATAAATCTGTTGGAAATCGGATGAATTTTGACTGAGTTATAGGGTTGGGAAATTTCGACCTACTTTATATATGATAATTGGGGCAACATTTTGACATGAATTTTGACCAAAAAAAATATGTTTCCGGATTTAAATGCCGATTTAAACTAGAGGCAAAACCATGAAGAAAAATATAAATCTTGTGAAAATCGGATGATTTTTGACTGAGTTATGGGGTTGGGAAATTTCGCCCTATGTCTATAGCCGATATTAGGGACAAAATTTTGACATGAATTTTGACCAAAAAATATGTTTCCAGATTTAAATGCCGATTTAAACTAGAGGCAAAACAATGAAGAAAAATATAAATCTGGTGAAAATCGGATGATTTTTGACTGAGTTATAGGGTTGGGAAATTTCGACCTACTTTATATATGATAATTGGGGCAACATTTTGACATGAATTTTGACCAAAGAATATGTTTCCAGATTTAAATGCAGATTTAAACTAGAGGCAAAACCATAAAGAAAAATATAAATCTGGTGAAAATCAGATGATTCTTGACTGAGTTATGGGGTTGGGAAATTTCCACCTACTTTATATAGGATATTTGGGGCAACATTTTGACATGAATTTTGACCAAAAAATATGTTTCCGGATTTAAATACCGATTTAAATTAGAGGCAAAACCATTAAGAAAAATATAAATCTTGTGAAAATCGGATGATTTTTGACCGAGTTATGGGGTTGGGAAATTTCGCCCTATGTCTATAGCCGATATTAGGGACAAAATTTTGACATGAATTTTGACCAAAAAATATGTTTCCGGATTTAAATGCCGATTTAAACTAGAGGCAAAACCATGAACAAAAATATAAATCTTGTGAAAATCGGATGATTTTTGACCGAGTTGTGGAGTTGGGAAATTTCGACTTATGTCTATAGCCGATACCAGGGACAAAATTTTGACATGAATTTTGACTAAAAAATATGTTTTCGGATTTAAATGCCGATTTAAACTAGAGGCAAAACCACGAAGAAAAATATAAATCTTGTGAAAATCTGATGATTTTTGACCGAGTTATGACAATGGGAATTTTGACCTGTTTACATAGGTCATTCAAGGATTCAATTCTTACAGAAATCTTAGCCATATGGCATAAAGGGCAGTTGCTCTTCGACGTGCCGAAGGTAGCCGTACATTCTAGTCACACTCACGCAGTTGGACAATGGCGACCTCCTGGCGATGGAAGACCGCATCCAAGCGTTCCATTAGCTTGCGCACCTGGCTGAGGCATGTGTAGACCGCCTGCTCCACCACGTAGACGGGTTCGCCCATGATTTCGTGCATGGGCGTCAACGCATTCCGGAGCAGCGTCTGGCCACATGATAGGCTTTGTGCCACGATCTCAATGTTGCGCATAATGTTCGTGACGGGACCCAAGGTGGCCAGGATGAAGGCGAAGGCGACGAGCAGCGCTCGACCCTTGTAGCTGCACATGAGCGTCAGGGCCAGGATGCCAACGCATCTAAGTTCGATAAAGATCAGGCGATTAGGTCAAGACCAAATTGGATCTGTGAGCTCACCTGGTCGAGTGGCTGTAGAAGATGATCAGCAGCAACAGTCCCAGCAGCACGATCAAGAACCATTTGAGGTTCAGCTCCGCGCTCTCCCGGCGATGGTGCAGCAGATACCAGAGGAGCACCAGGACTATGCCCGTTATATAGCCGAGTATTATGTAGATCATCAGATTGTCATAGATAATGCGCTCCTTGGGATCAGCTTTGCTGAAGGCAACACGAGCTGGCGGTCGATCCTCCGGATAGATGGGCGCATCGTTCGTATCGCTTGGATCCTCGGTCGTTTCCGTATCTGCGTGTCTGCGTCGAAATTTTCGTTCCCGATACACTTTCTGTCCGCCGTAATAATACGCCGGCGCTGGCGTTTCCTTTCTCTGCTCAATGATAATTCCGACATGGCTGTCGTTGGATTGCTTCTCCCTGGCTTTGCCAGCAGCTTCTCCTCCTCCCTGGCCGGCGTCTATGCGCACGTAGTCGGCCTCAGATGTTGGTGAGGCGAATGATTGACTATATGTTGACATGATATAAACGAATTACTCAGTGACTCGACTTAAGACTCAAAACTAATTGAATTTTCATTTAACCGTAAACTTCATATAGAACTAATCAGGGTTCTGGTTCCGTTTATGGCTTAAACTGAACTGGTTCTGGTTTGATATATGATCGCCATTTAAAATGTTATCGATAACAATGCAGGCTCGTGTTATCGTTAATTATCGTGAGTGAGCCCAGCCTTTGCAAAACTACAGAGAAGCATTTGCATTACTTATGCCTTGCCCAGCCTATAAAGAATTATAATAATCTTATTAGAAATATTCATAAATGAATTACATTATAATAAACAAAAACACATTTTTGTGCTTGTTTAAGGCTCCTTTTTGCTGTGCTGCCTGCGATATTTGCTGCAGAGAAGACGTGCCTTGATTTGTCCAAATGATTCCGACTCCGGATTGTCGGAGGAGTCCCTGCAAAAGACAGTCACAATACGATTATTTGAAAAAGAAAATGTAAGCAGGGCTGCAAACACAATAAAGAACTGGGCAATGGTTCAGTTCACGGCTCGAACCAGTTGCCTGCATTTAAAGTACGGTTCGTGAACCGGGAGCTAGGACTTTCTCAAAATTCGTTCGATATGAACCAGAACCATTTCTAAATGAACATGGTTCGATTCATGGCAAACTGGTTTTGGTTCGGTTTGGTTAATTTTTCGGCGCCTGCTTGCAGCCCTGACTCTGGATGTGCTTACTGAACTTCGGAGAGGTCGCTGTAATCGCCATAATCAGCGGGCCGCTGGCAGAGGCAACATTTGCCATTGGACTCACGTAAGCAGGCCTGGCAGTAGACGCCCTTGCAGCCGGGCGTATCGCACTTTACGCGTGTCGAGCTGAAAAGGGCAGGGTCCTGGTTCAAAACAGACACAACTGAGGCACGAGTTAATCAACACTAACGAGCTCAACAGCTGGGCGCACAGAATGCACACATCCTCGCCACGAACGGGCCAGAAACAGAGGCAACAGCAGCACCTAAGGTGGTGAGGTCCAAAGGTCATTGGGTCATCCAATACCAGGCAATAGAGGGAGCTACAAACCGGAGAAGCTTGCCCAGGCAGCCGACATGTCCGCCCGCCTGCTGGTGCCTAAAAAGGGCGCGTGCCTTGCGACGGGCCATCTTGAAGAAGCAGCCTAAGGAGAAAAAAGAGCAAGAGAGAGAGAGAGAGAGAGAGTTTAGAGTCTTTATAGGATTGGGTTTGAACCGGCGCCCACCTCGCTTTTCGATTATCTTCCGCTGCAAATACAGCGCACGCACATGGGCACGTTCCGGATAGAATCTCTGCATGATCAGGTGACGCAGACGCAGCGCATAGGGCTCCGTCAGCAGGATGAGCCAGGCGAGCAGGCAGAGCAGCAAGATGCCCGCATAGTATCTGTAGTCCGGCTCGACGGGCAGCGGCAGGCAGGACTTGGAGTCCAGCTTGGTCTTCTGGGTGATGGGACGAAAGGCATTCGCAATGCCTCTCATAATGTCGCCCACAAAGCCGCCGCCCTCAATCTCCAGATCCACGTAGGCGGGTATCTCCAGATCATCCTGCTCCTCGCCATAATACGCAATGCTGTCCAGCAGCCAGAACATGCTGTAGTCCAACAGGCAAATGCTGCCCAGCTGAACGCACGTGTTGAGCATAAAGAACGCATTCTCCGCCAGCATCAGGCACTCGCCGCCCGACAGCCGCAGGCTGGTTAGCTGCAGGTTGGATTTGGGCTAAATAAATGGGCTGACCAATTGATGGACCTTCAAGCACTTACCTTCAAGTACTTGGCGCGCTCCAGACTCTTCAGGGGCAGAGCTGTGGGCTGGCCCTTTGCCTCGCAATCCCTCTCGATGGCATAAAGCGCGCTGGTCAAATAAATATTCTGATACTCCCGACCGAGCATATAGCGCAGATAGAAATAGATGGCCCTGTGAATTATGAATTTTCACAAGGATAAAACAAAAAAGATTTCATTTAATCATTTTCCGCTTATTTTCCACAGTTGCAGGTGAAAATGGCTGAAATCACCGAATTAGGTTTCAGTAAGGTTTTAAGAAAAGCTCTTAGAATACTTTGGACCGAATGAAAGATAGATCAAACGAGTTTTCACGGATTAAAAGAAATATAGCATGCTAATGATTTCCGCCTCTGTTTCACGTTTGTGAGTGGATTTGGCCTAAGCCCAGTTTTCAGCTTAACTGCTTTAAAAAATGCAGATGCCTAGCTCTTAGGAGTTGAGCCGACGTTAAAGATCAATCAGTCAATCAGTCAGTCAGTCAATCAATCAGTCAGTCAATTAAACTGTTTTATATAATTTCTATAGATATGCTTGCCTACTTGATGAGTATGGCCAGCAGCATAAGCCAGCAGAGCAGATCGAGCCAGCTCTGGAATATGAAGAATGGACGCAAACGTTGCTGAATATCCTGCATGACCTCGTCGCCAACATCGGACAGTTTCTTGGACGCGTTCGTATGGAACTTGAAGTTATGTTCAAAGCTAATGCTCACATCGAACATCTGCTCCAGCTGGGCCACAAACTCGTAATAGCCTGCAAGCAGATTAAAAGGCAGAGATGGGGCAGGATAACTCGATGAGAACTTACGCTTCATGATGGTGTCGAGGATCTGCCAGCTGTCATCCCAGACGCCGGCACAGAAGACGTCCACCAGCCTGGCCGGATAGCAGAGCGCCAGGAAGAGCTTAGCGGCATGGCAGAGGGACTTGAGCATGCCCAGCCTGGCGCGGCATTTGGCCTGGGCGCGCTCAGCTGCCTGCTGGCAGCGTGTCCAGGGCGTGCCCAGCTCCGAGTTGCACAGCTCCAGCACGGACTCCAGCCAGGCGGCGCACACCTTGAAGGCATCAACTGCAAGCGAGATGAGCAGCATGAGCAGCAGCAGCAGCAGAGAGTGTAGAGGACTCACTGATGACCAGCAGGTAGCTCTGGATGCGCAGCAGCAGCTGCAGCACCTGTTGCAGCACACGGCGCAGCTCCTCGAGCAGCTGATCGATGGCCATGTGAACGGCACGCACCGGCTCCATGACCACGTCCAGCATCTGGCCAATGGCCAGACGCAGCAGCTCCTGGCCGCAGGCCAAGCTGCGCAGCAGCGCCATCAGATTGGCCAGGATATTGGCGGTGGGTCCGCGGGCGGCCACATAGAAGGCCAGGGCAATGAGCAGGGCGCGTCCACGTGAGCTGCACAGCGAGGGCAGCGCCAGCGTCAGTATGCACCTGCAAAGGCAAAGATTAGGTTGGATTAGGAGCTCCACTCCAAGCAGTATTCAGGCTCGACTCACCGCACGGCCCGGCTGAAGAGCATTGTCATGCAGAGCAGACCCAGGATCACCAGAAGCAGCCACAGCTGCGTCAGATCCCGCTCCCTTTGGGCCGGCTGCCATTCGTACCAGAGCAGTATGAGTCCAATGCCCGACAAATAGCCACAGCTAACTAACGGTATTATCCATTTGAGTGGCCAAATTTCGCTGGACTCCTGCACGTGCCTCAAATATTTCATTGTGCTTCAGGCAAATGAGGCTTGAAGCAAATCTAATTCGATATGCCAGCGGGCAATTGGATTCTAATTGGGCTGGCGTGACTATGTTTGTTCCACTAAGAACTCTTTAAAGAAAAGTAAATCGCGTAAAATCCCTTAACTGACCTCCTCAAATCGGGCTCTAGTATTCCTTAACACAATGCAAATTCAAAACGCGCGCCCTGCTGCTGGGCAAAAGCTGGCTGCTGCAGCACTGCAGCGCAACATATATTTGTCTCGCTCTAGGCAAGCAAAAGACCCAAGCTGAAAATTTCCCTGCACGCAGTAGACAAAAAGCTAACTGCCGTAAGACTTTCTTAAATGCCCGTTAAAATTGAAACACTTGGTACTTTTTCTCTTTCTTTTCTTCTCTGTTGCGTCACGTTTTGTTTTTCGTTTTTTTTTTATTTTCAATCAAAACCTTTTACACTCAACTCTCTTTTTGTTTATGTTTTTTTTTTGCGTTTAACTGTTCTTTTACAACTCTCAAACCTTAATTTTCATTAACAAACTGTACTTTTTTTTGTGTGTTGTTTTCTTTTGGAGACATATTTCATAGTTATTTATGTACGGTTCCTCTTTTTTTTTGTATATCTTTTTTTTTTGGGAAATTTTTTAAACAGCGCGAATGCGTCCTGAATTTAACGAACTTTTTGTGTGTTTTTGCTCTGCGTTGAACTTAGTTTAGTTTAGTTTTTCTATTTTGTTTTGTTTTACGTGCTGAAAAATACAACATTGCAGTCGAATGCGAAAAACGTTTCGAACTCGACTTTCGGATCTTAGTTATGTACTTGAGGGGTACTCATATGGGGTAGATGCGTGTGTGTGTGTGTGTGTGTGTGTGTGTGTAGGTATTTAGGTATTATAATAATTTATACGTTTCAGCTTAAAATCTATATATGTAAATATATAGTCGTATATGTATATATGTATATATATTGATTTATGTGTGTCTGTGTGTGTTTGTGTGTTTGTTAGGTTAGGTTCATTAAATACCGTTATGGTTTAGGGTTTAACTTTATAGGTTATGTATATTATATATCGAGCCTATGTATATATGTATAGGTATACAAATATGTATGTACATAGCTTGCAAATTAGTCTGGTGTATTTGATACTTGATTTAATATTATTCATCTTATTTTTTTGTTTGGTTTCTTATTTTTGCAAATGTAGTAATTGAATTACGTTTACGTTTACGTTTACGTTACGTTTACGTTAAGAGTTTACGTTTAGGCTTATTTAACTCAGTCTAGCACCCCTAGAGATTGAACTTGGATAAAACGGATCGATTCGCTCTCGACTTTATCAATATACAATGTGGAATGTTCAAATACATATCTATATATATATATATATATATATATGTGTGTGTATGTGTGTGTAATATAATATTGGCTATATATATGTGTGTATATAGTATATATAAGTATATGCATTAACTATATAATCGGTCAAGGTTTGCACTAAAAATTTGACATAACTAAATGCACATTCACACACACATTCACAAGCTCCTTGATTTTCGACCAATTTCCCTTCTAGGTTTTTAGACTAATTTATCGTAGAGCTCAAGTTCCGCATGGAGCCAAACATAAGTGTAAAGTTCTTAACGCACAAATCGTATACATACATTGCCCAGACCTTAGGTATATATATATAGATATAGATATATATATATGTGGTATTTTATATAAGAGAAAGTTATATTGGCAAAGTTTTCGATCTAAACTTTTACTACTGGTTTGTTCTCTAGGCACTTTCTTCTATTTGACAGAGAATCTGCTTTTGGTTTCTTTTGTTCTTCTCTCTACAAATGATTTTCCGAGGGTATTCTGAAGTCTTGCATGAGTCGGAAATGCGCAATATATATATATATATATAGATATATATATATAGTGTTGCATGTGTGTGTATATACGTAATAGGGTTTACGAAATTGGCGATATCCGCACTTTCAAGTCTCCAGTGACAGGACTTCGTTAGGTACTGCAGCACATAAGGTCGAATTCAAAGAAAAAGATATGCGAGTTTTTAATACCCTTGCAGGGAGTATTCATATGTCATATATCTATACTATATAGAGATAGCATATATATAGCTATAGCCCTTTATCAGCGGAATTAAAGTACTTTTGCCTTGATCTATGCTGTCTAGAGTTTTCTTCTCTCTTCGCCTTGACATAGCAGGCAGATCGGCCAAATCGGACGACTATATATATTTATAACTAAAACATGTCTCTTTATCCAGATATGACATTTAGAGCAATAACTCTTGAGAATCGAGTCGCTATATCATATAACTCCAATTGGAACTAAATGGAAAATCTTTGAAATTAGGAACTTTTTTACATTTTTCATCTTTTAAAAAAATATATTCCAGCTTCCACTTAGGATTACTATAACATTCCAATTGGAACTCCCGATCGAAATCTCCAGTTTTTATATATTTTTTTGCTTCCAGTTCGAACTAATATAGCATATAGCTCCAATTGAAACTCGCAAAATTTGTGACTTTTTGATATGGAAAACTATTTTCAAAAACTCACGAATCAAGAACTTTTTCAGCTTCCATGTCGAAAGACTATATCATAAAGCTTTCTTGGGCAAAATATTGCTGCGAATCGAGCTTTTATATAGATCAAAAAAGCTTTCATACGATTATGTGCAAGGGTATTAAAGCTTCGGTAAGCCGAAGTTAAGCTCTTTCTCAATTTCTTACTGTATTTTACTTTCTTTCTTCTTCTTTTGGGGGGTAGGGTTCTGGGGGGGGGGGGGGGGTTTGTATTTTACAGTTAGTGGCGAAACCTATGCGTAAAGTTCTAATCGAATGCATTTTGTATAAACTCCGTTAGCAGGCATTTGTGTAGAGTGGGGGCAGGGGATGGAGTGGAAGGGGGAGGGGGGGGGGGCGTAGTTGACCTTGGAACCGATGCCAGAATCTGTTTTGTTTGCCAAAAAGTGATTAACGCAAATGTTTGCCAATTGGAATGTGAAAACCAAAGTGAAATAAAAAACAAATTTTTTGCAAAAAATTTTCATTTTTTTTTTTTGTAGTTTTTGAAAATGTTTTCATTTTTAATTTTTAATGATACGTTTTCTTAATGTTTTTCTTGTTGTTGTTTGTGTGTGTGTGTGTGTGTGTGTGTTTTCTTTTTTACCAATTATGTGTATATATAGGCCATATATACCAGGTGTGTATGTGTGTGTGTGTGTGTGTGTGTGTATAATAATTTACATTTTCTCTCACTATTTAGTTGCTTACATCTCTCTTTGCAATATTTTGTTTTTGTTTTTTTTTTGTTTTTGTTTTGTTTTTTTTTTTTTAATAAATTATACAATTTAATTTAGTTTAATTTAGTTTAGTTTAATTTAATTGAATTAATTGTATACTTTGCGTAACTTAATGATCTATAGTTAAATTGCTGCTACGGCCACGCCCACCAAAATGCGGGACGCGATATGTATGTACAAATGTATTTTTTGCTTTCTTTCATTTTCTCTCTCTCTATCTCTCTCTCTCTCTCTCTCTGCTTCTGCTTCTTCTACGTTTGCTTTTCCACTTGATTTCTTTGCTAACTCTCACATGCTTTTTAATGCTTACGACTAACGAGGGTGAGTGTATGTGTGTGTGTGTATGTGTGTGTTTGTGTATGTGTGTGTTTGTGTGTGTGTTAGGGGCGTGGTCTAGGCATAACTTAGGCTTTAGAATTTAACTAATACGCGCGAGTTTTAGAAACATTTTTCATTAGATGAACGAACCAAAATGCCGAACATAAAATTATGTGACAATAAACTTTACAATTTATTGATAATTTTAGTTTAAGTTATTTTTTTTTTTTGGGGTTTTTTTTCTCAGTTTTTAGTTGTATTGGTTTTTATTTCATTTAAATTTAGTTTAAAATTCAATTTTATACCTGTTTTTGTAACTAACTTTTCAAGCTAACTGTAACTCTCCACTCTCCACTTTCTCTCCTCTCTCTCTCTCTCTCGCAAAAGGAAAAAAAAAAAACAAAAACAAAAACTTTCAACATAACAAAAGATATCTATTATTTTTATCCAAATGTAATTTCAACTAAATTTCAACTTTTTTTTACACTTTTTCAGCTTCTTTTTTTTTGTGTTTTGTTTTTGTTGTATATAATATATATGTGTATTTCTTTGAATGTGTTTTTGTTTTTGTTTTTGTTTTTCATTTCTGCTTTTAAATAGTTTCTCAAAGTCTTATACGTTTCTTTATAGGGCAAAAAAGCATTATATAAATTAAATGTAGAAATCAAAAAATTAGCATACAAAAAAATTCTTACTAGAAATTGTTGAGCGAGCTGAGCGACGGACGCTAGTGGCGCGCCATCTAGCGGCAGCGACAATACACTATTTGGCCCGTCTCTCACTTCGGCCTAATCTTCGGCTAAGCTAACTGTTAATATTTATATATATGTATATATTTTTTTTGCTTCTTCTCTTTCCGCTCATTCCACTTTTCGCTTCAGAAGTGCGCATATAGCTAATGTACAGTATGTGTATATATATGTGTGTGTGTGTGTATGTAATAGATTTACATAGTTACAATTTACAGTTAGGCGACAAACACACTCCCTTTTACTATAGTTATGCGTGCGTATATACGCTCTATATGCTATATATATAAATATATATATAATTTACAGTTTCGACAATTTTACATACATCATTTGCTAGTTACGCTTTTTAACTATTGAATACAATTTGAATTTAGTTTTAGGCTTAAGTTTAGTGTTGCGCCCCACTGTGGCACAGACTGTGGCCGCCAGATGGCGCCGCAGCTTTAGCTTCTGCTATTTAATTGTAATTCATTTAAATTGTGACTAACTACGCGCTAAAAAAAATTAGTTAAACTATGTATACAAGTTGCTGATGGCGCCATCTATGGGCGCAGACGCCATTCGTCTGTCTAATTGCCGCACAGTGGGGCACAAACGTTCATAAATATAATATATATATATATATATATATATATGTTTATGTTTTTTGTTGTAATAATTTAGTTTAGTTTAATTTAATTTAAATTAGTTTAGTTTAAATTTAGTTAATATATATATATATAGATTTTTTTTGCTTACAACTGTGTTATTTTTGCTGCTGCTGCTTCTTTCCTCTCTTGCTATATGTATATGTATGTATGTATATGTATATGCACAAAAGTTTAACGTTAAACGAGAGACACACAACAAACAGAAATTGTTATTTGATATATGTATGTATATCGATATATACTATATATATATATATATATAAACAAATTTCGAATTAGCACTAGACACATTCTTGCATTTCTATTCGTGTGTGTGTGTGTGTGTGTGTGTTTAGGTTTTTGCTAGTATTGGTTGTTGTTGTTGTTTTTGCACTGTTTGCACTAAATTTTCAACTAAATTAGAATTTAATTTGCATTTAAATCTAAATAACGACAACAGTCACGAAATGGCCGAGACACGTGTTCAGCTTTTCAGCTGTTCAATTGGACACTGTCTTTTTGCCCCGCGTCGCTGTTGTTGTTGTTGTTGTCGTAACTGTTGTTGCTGCTGCTGCTGCTGCTTCCAGTTGCTGTTGCTGTCGCTGCTGCTGCGCTGCCGGCGAACTGCGCCGCGCTGTCGGCGAACTGTTATTGGAGGCGGGTGAATTGGAGCTGGCGAGGGGCGTGCTGTATACAGCCAAACTGTTGCTGCTGCCGCCCGTTGAGCAGGCAAAGGACGAGATGCTGTTGGTTGTGGACACAGCTGTTGCCGCAGCATCGGTTGCCGTTGCGGCAGCTGCGTCGCCGTAGCTCAGTTTCGACATGTTCTCAATGGCCTCGACCCACTGTATGGCATAGCCTTCGGGATCGTCCAGATAGTAGGTGCGATTCGGCTGCAAGAGCGAGAGAGAGCGAGAGAGAGAGTTACAGTTAGAAACTGGCTGACAAGTGTGTGCAAAAAAAAAAAAAAAAAACGGTGTGACCAAAGGCCGTTAAAAACTATTGTTTATTATCGACGTTTTTTTTTTTTTTTTTGCTGTCGATTTTGCTTTTATTTCGTTTTTCCTTTTTGTTGGTTTTTATCTACGTTGCGTGTGCACTTTTCAATGTCGCATATAATTGAGTTGTGTGTTGTTGTTGTTGTTGTTGTCGGGTCGTAAACACGTGCCGTTGCTATAAACTGGGCCCAAACGAATTAGTGCGAGCGTGTGCTTGGGGCAACTTTATGGCACACGATGACGTCATCAACTCAATTGGCTGGTTCAACAAACTGTCAACAGCAACAGCAGCAACAACAACAACATGCGCACAAATAAAATGTACAACAATCGTATAAGGTAACTCCTGGCAAACGAATACCCTTTTTTTTTTAACAATGCACTAAAAAATACCACAGAAAAATACCAAAATGCCACAAATTGCATGTGCGACTTACCGTATGCACAAAGAAGATTTTAAAGTTCTTGATCTCGGCGCGCAGCTCGGGACTCCAGGGTATTTCGCCCTTCTTGATCATCTGCACGGGATCAATATAGATGAGGCGCGGCCCCGTCGTCAGCAGAAGCATACGCTTCCGGGCAAATAGACCCTTGCGCTTGTTCACAAATCCGCGCTTGAGGATCACCTCGCCGTCGGCGAACACGTGCCATTTGTCAGTCTTTTGTGCCTCCAGGCGCTGCTGTTTCTGTGCGTCGCTCAAGTCGAACGAATCTGGCGAAGATTAGAGGCGAGATTAGTCAGGTTATAGCAGGGCAGAATTGCAGGCGGGAGGGATGCGGTGCACTTACTCTTTGCCACAGAGGGCTTGTGAGCGGGCGCCGCGGCGCTGCTGCCGACGCCCAGCTCGGCGCTAAGCAGACGCGTTATCTGGCGCTCATCCAGACCCGGCTCCAGATCCACGCTAATGGGCAGGCAATAGCTGGTGCCGTTCGCACTGCACAGCGCATCGTCCTGGCTGACGCCGGGCAGGTAAGGGTAGATGGGCGGCGGCGTCTGCTGGCGCAGCGTTTGCCAGTCGATGCCCGCGAAGAAGGGATGCGCCCGGATGCTCTCGTAGTAGCCAAACTCATCCTGGGCGCCCAGGCGTTCGCGCGGATCAACCTTGAGCAGCTGCCTGACCAGATCCTCGGCATCCTTGTCAAAGCCCTGCGGAAAGTCAACGGCACAGCCCAGAATCTCCTTGAAGATGAAGTAATCGTTGCTGCCCCTAAACGGCGGCAGGCCCGAGATCATCTGGTAGACAATGCAGCCCAACGCCCACAGATCGGCGGCGGGCGTAATGGGCGCATTCCGTAGCACCTCCGGCGACACGTACTGTGCGGTGCCCACAAAGCTGCCGCGTCGCGCGCGCATCCGTGGATTCCGGTAGTGGCGATGGCGCGGTGAACGGGCAGCATCTACATCATCTCCCGCTGGCGGCGCCTCCTCCTCCTCGTTGGCGGCGGCGGCGGCGGCATCGTCGTCATCGTCCTCGTCGACGGCATAGTAGAAGCGTCTGTCCTCCTGCTCCTCCTCGTCCAGGTCATCGTACAGCTCTTCGCTGTCCTCGTCATCGTCATCGGAGCTGCGCGCCGAGCGTCGGCGTCGCTGCGCCGCAGCGTCCAGGCTGCCGGTGCTGGCCAGCTGGGCGGCCGCCTGGGTGCGTTCGTGCGGGGTCATGACCTTGGCGGAGCCAAAGTCCGCGATCAGCGTGTGCATATCCTCGTCGAGCAGTATGTTCTCCGGCTTGAGATCGCGATGCACCACATTGCGGCGATGCATATGCTCGCAGGCGAGCAGCAGCTCGGCGGCATAGTGGCGGGTGCAGGCGGCATCAAAGCTGCCGACGCGATTGATGTAGGGCAGGAGATCGCCCTTGCGGGCATAGGTCATCACAAAGTAGAGGGAGCGCTGATCCTGGAACGTGCACGACAGATTCACAAAGCCCGGCACGCTGGTCATCATGTGCATCACTTCGCGCTCTCGCTTGATGTAATCCTGTTTGTGCTCTCGCAAGATAAGACGCTTCTCGCACACTTTGACTGCAAGCAAAGAGAGAGAGAGAGAGAGATAACGGATTAGTCAAATGTCGGCGAATCAAAAAACAGCTGAGCGAGCAATGTATGAAACAACTGTTAAATTCCAATTGAGATTTTGCTGAATGATAGCAAAAGGAATGCACACACACACAGCCACACACAAACACGCATAGACAGCATTAAATGAAGAGCTAACCGGCACAGGCGACATGATTGTCCACAACAAACTGCTGCACTGTAGCGCACAATTTGCTAGCGACCCTTTGGTGACTATTACAAAATTTGTGCACAGCCACACACACATGCATGCATACATATATACATGCATGCGTAGGCATGTATTGCAGCCCAGCTCAACTGCACAGGCGACAGCATGGTCGTAGGCTGAAAGCTGCGACTCGAGCGCACAACTTGCTAGCATCACTTGTGTCGCCTGTGCCTCCTTTGGCTCGTCGCTTTTTGTGCTTTGATTTTAGTTCGTTTTATATGTGCACACACACACACACACACACATACACACAGTGAGTTTTTGTCGTTTTCTTTTTTCAATTTGGCATACATATTCCTCGTGTGATTTATTGAAATGAATGCAAGAGCGAGAGAGCAGCAGAGTGCGCGAACAACGGACAAAAAGGGAAGCGCGGCAAGACAGTAAAAAAAAAAAAAAAAAAACCAACAAAAAAAGAAGAAGGAATTTGCTCAAATTGCTAAATTAACAGGCGACAACGGCGACGGCAGCGACGGCGGCGGCGGCGGCGACAGCGACGTTGCCAGCGGCAGGAGTAACGAAAGCGAGCGCGCTTTGGGAACTTGTTTCCAGTTCCCCCCGCGAGCGCGCTTCCATACTTTGTTTGCTTAGCTGCTGCTCCCTAAGAAATTCTAAACTGGTTGTTGAACTGCAAAACCGCACACACACACACACACGCGCGCGAACTGAAGTAAGCTTGGCTGCGGAATCTGTTGGCATTGAAACATTTATTGAGCAAAATGTGAGACGCTTTTAAGCTTTGACCCCCGCGCCAACCCGACACACTAGCAGGACAGAGAGTCAGAGAGAGAGAGGTTAACGGCTCTATTCCCACTATGAATTATGACCGCTTATCAGCAGTTGCCCTGTTCGCTTTACAGTTTTGTCCTCATCAAGTGTCGATGCGCTTTACATACTCTACATACAAAACATATATGTATGTGTGTATGTATGTATGCACATAAAACATGGAACGTGGGAAACTTGAAAATATTCGTGCAGAAAAACTCTCGAGACGCAAAGACAACAAACAAAACGCGAAGAAAATAAAATGAAAATAAAAACAAAAAAAAAAAAAAAAACTGAGAAAACAGTTTTCGACACAAACAAAACTTAAAACGCAAATTTGTTGATTTGCGAAAAAGCGAATAAACAACGTTCATTTAATAAATTACGCTAACTATGTGTGCGAGTGTGCGTGTGTGTGTGTGTGTGTGTATAGGCAATAGAAAATACAAATATTAATTTGCTTTTGTTTTTATTTTTCTTTTTATTTTGCCGTTTTATCAAGATCGCAACTGAATTCGTTTTTTTTTTTTAGTCTAGAAAACAAATCAGGGGCCAGATAAGCTGTCGAGTGGCAGCTAAATACACACACACACACGCACACACATACGCACTCGCGAACGGCGAAAGAGGAAAAACAAAACAGCCGCAATTAAAAGATTAACACAAATAAAACAACAAAGTGCGCGATTTTTTATGCGTTTTAAATTTCCCAAGCCAAAAAAAAAAAAAAAGAAAAAGAACAACAAAAGTGCGTAAAAATAAAATTGACCTTGAAATCCGTTACCGTTGCTTTTTTTTCTTCTGTGATTCTGATTGGAACGCATTTGAATTGAATTGTGGAAACGGAGAGAGCGCGCGTTTTTTTTTTCGTTTGCTTTTGTTTCATTCTATTTTCTTTTATTGTTGGTTTTAATTATTTATTTTAATTTTTTGCCGTTTGTTGAGCTGCGGTTTTAAAAAAGTGTATTTTTTTTATGGGTTTAATGCCCTGATAAGGCGACGAAAGCGCAGCCTTGAACTAGGTGGCGGCAGCGCAAGTGCAGAAAAAAGAGAAAAAAAAACAGCAACAACAGTGAAACATAAAAAATAAGTTAAAGAAAGCACACACAAGGGTGTAAATAGCACAAAATAATGTGTGTGGCAGCAGCTGGCAACAGAATAGGAAAAAACAAACAAACAAACAAAAGAGAAAAAGGTAAGACACAGCATTAAATTAATATTGCCCAAGTTTTGTCCCACTGATCAGCAGAGAAAGAGAGGGCGGGAGAGGGGAGTTACATTTCAAAAATGCAGCGCACACACACACATGCGAGCGCGTGCATTGCAACTTGTTGCGTCTCGATTGGAATGCAGTACAACGAGTTTGACAGAGAGAGAGAGAGCGAGAGAGAGAGGCAGAAGCAGTGACTGCAGTGGGAGACATAAATTGCAATTGTAACCAGTTGTTGTTGGGAGACAACTGAGTCAAACGATTCTATAAATAAGACAGAAGACGACGCAACTGCAACTTATTGCTGGAGGACAATGACCAAAAAAGAGCAAAATAGAAAACTGTACACAACGCAGCAGCAGCAGCAGCATCAACAAATGCTGCTGGATGGCATTCCAGACGCAGCAGCAGCAGATGCACACAGCGACCGAGAGAGAGAGAGAGAGAGAGCGAGCGCCAAAGCCAAAAGTCATAGTTAGTTAATTGGGTGCAAGGCCGTTTGGGTATGTTTTGGAATTGGAACACGTTAAACAGGAAGTCACAATAGAGGTGTTTGAACCGCAATACAAAGACGGCGCAAGATCGAGAGAGTGAGCAAAGGAACTTTGATTCCAACTCGAGTGTGTGAAAAATTTGTTTTTTCTTTTTTTTTTTTTGATTATTTTTTGGCAATTTTTGTTGTAGTGGAAAATTTTGTTACGCGTAGGCGATTGGAAATGTGTGTATGTGGGGCGGGGGCGCGGCGGTTTGCAATAAAACTGATTACTTGCGTCTGATAAACGCGGCTGTCGAAAAACGAGAAAAGTAACTCCAAAAAACGACCCACGCGACTTTTAATGCTCTTTTCGGTTAATTTATTGTCACGGCGGCGGCCTTTCTGGCACGACACAGCGAATTGACATAAAACTGACAAACAACAAATTGCGATAAAAGTCGATTGTGAATTCGCCGCGGCGAGCAGCAGGCAGCACAAAATTGCAAGCTGTCTCTCTGTATGTGTGTGTGTGCGTGTTTGTGTGTGCCATTTCGCATTGTTTCGCATTTCAATTTCATTAATTAGCGACCGTCGCCCATAATTGGTAAAGAACATTGGCGGCAGCGCTACCCCCCCGCCAACACCCATCCATCGCGCACCCTTTGCATGATGCTAGCTCATCATGACGTAACTTGACGTTTCGCTTGAAACTCATTTAAATATGTCGCGCATAACCAAACAGCTTATGACAGGGCAGCAGCAGCAGAAGAAGAAGAAGAAGCAGAGTGGCTCACAGGTAAACGCAGCACAGAAGCGTTTAGTGGAAGTCGCAGGCAAGTGGAATGGGAATATGGAAAAATGGAACGGCAAGGAGCGCGCCTCTCATTATTGTTGTTGTTGTTGCTGTTGTTGTTGCCAGCTGAGTCATATAACAATTTTGAGTGCGCCTCCTTTTTTTTTTTTTTTTGTTTTTACTGTTATTGTTGCTGGGTGCCTGGCGCGTGGTTTGAGCAAAAGTTTATTGCCCTTAGTGGAGGGGGGAGCGGGAGCGGGAGGGTTGAGTGCGAGCGACAACTTGACGGCACGCAAAGGACCTCCGTTTTTTTGTTTTTGAATATGGTTGTTAAACAAACGACAATTTGCACAACAAGTGAGCAGCAGCAGCAGAAGATAACGGCACTCTCTTGCTCGCTCACTCTCTCTCTCTCTCTCTCACTCTCTTATATACATATGTCTGCATGTGTGTGTGTGTGTGGCGTAATAATAAAAACAAGGCCAAGGCAGGCTGTAGCCGACTTCCTGGCGCGACTTAATTCGCTCGTAAAAGCTGAGCGACTGGCGGCAGAGCAGGGGGGGGGGCGGTCTGTGGGTGGCGCGGCACCTTGCCACGTGCCACACACACCCCCCCCCTCTCTTTCGGGCCTACCTGACATATGGCAGCTGCAACGCACATACAAAAAACAATTGCACAGGCGCAGGTGCAAACAGAAGAAGAAGCAGCAGCAAAAAACAAACATTTGTTATGAATCAGGCGAAAAGGATATGAGAAAAGGATCCGCCGTCGTCGCCGAGTTGAATGACCCAAATATTTGTCAATATTATGTTACAAGCCAGAGCGAAAGAGAGCGAGCGAGCGTGCGAGAGAGAGCGAGAGCGAGCAGAGGTTAAATACCCTTAGACAGCTGCGACTGCGCGCAGCAATGGCGACGGCGGCGCAGCAGCTGCTGTAATTAAAAATAACACACGAGCACAAGAAAAAGGAGCAGCAACAACAACAACAACAACAACAAAACGATAAACGAAGAGCCGCAGAAGCGAAGAACGGAGAGAGACGAGAAGCGAACAGAGCAAAATGCCTGCTAACGTTTTTAATCATTTTGCAAAAGTTCAGTGGCCAAAAATTTGGCAGTGTGTGGGAAAAAAAAAACAAGCGTAACATGTCGAGTTCCAGCATGGTATATGGGAACAGTTGTGAGAGAACAGTTCAACGGCCGATCGTCGAGTGTACCAATGCCAGTGCGTTCCAGCAACAAGTTGCATTTCGATGCGTGGGTGCAGCAGCAGCAAAGTAAACTACTTAAAACGTGTGAAAGAAATACAAATACATAAATGGGAACAGCTGCAGCTGCGCGCAGGATCAGCGGAGCACGTGTTCAGGTAGGAAAACTGCTACACAGCTGCGCTCAAATACAACAATGAAACTAACACACACACACACACGCAGACGCAAACACATGCATAGAAGACTTTTGCGTGGAATGATGAAATAGCCGAACAGACAATGTGAAAATGCGTAAAAAGAATTTGCGTAGCGCGTCAAACAGACGCCGCACAGCAACACAGCAACAACAATTCGCACACGCACACACACACACATAGGGCTCTCTCTGTCTCTCTCTCTCTCCACCGCTCACACCTCAGGCATGTGACACAAAATGAAAACGAAAACGAATTTTGCTACGTTCATCGTGAATGGACTTGTGGGAGTTGTGAGTGCGCCGCGAGAGCTTCAAGAGAGTGGGCGTTACACAGTTGGCAACATGTTGGCAGACAAGTCCAGTCCATAAAAATGTTGCGGTCTCTGCTCGTCGCTCTGTTTATAAGCAAATTAAAAGCAACAACATATATGTATGTACATAAATGATACGAGTTGAATTCGGTTTGCGCTCGTTTTTAGGGGGCGGGCGCGCGGGCCCATTGGAAAATGTATGCCAATAAAACACAATAACAATAAAAAGACTGGCGGCTGCTCTCGGCAAAAAAAAAAAAACAACCAACAACATCTGTTGACCTTCAAAAAGTGAGTGCAATAAACAAATGTCAATGTTTCCCTTCTTTTTTTTTACACATTTGTAACACAGCAACAAAATGCAAAGTCGAAAGTGCAGTTGCTGTAATTAAATGTTAATTTACAGCAGAGTATGTGCAAGAGAGAGAGAGAGAGAGAGAGAGTGGAAGCTGTTGCTGCTGCTGCTGTTGCTTATGTTCTTGCGCGTCTATTTTTAAACACAACTTAAGCTTCAGACGGCAGACAGCAGCAAAACAACGGTTACAACACAGTTGCACTCACACACATGCATTCTCGCAACTCTCTCCCGCTCACGCAAAGTTAAAGAGCAAAACAACAGTTGCTCGTCTCCCCTACCCAGCCCTCTGACCATACAATACTTAAGCTGTCTGTTAACAGCGCGCACTGTTGTTGTTTACATGCACCTGATGCTGCTGCCCTCTGCTGCTGTTGTTGCTGCTGTTGTTGTTATTGCATTGCACCCGTTATATTTGTGCTTTTGCGAGTTGTGCTTTATCAGAAGAAAAAAGTCAAAAGCTTATTGCAGACACGCGCCGTTTGCCTTGCGTTGCGCTTTTCGCGCATTATTATTGTTGTTGTTATTTAGCATTAAAAGCAAAGAAGAAGATAAATAAAATGCAAACAATGCAATTTGCAGCTGCGTTTGCGTTCGCTGCAGGCAGCGCGACACGTGCCAAAGCCGCGACTTTGCAAGTTTATTGATTTATCATTGTTGCTGTTGCAGGCGAAAATCTCAAAGCAAATTGGCTTAGCACAAATAAACAACAACTGACAGTGAGCCGCACACACACACACACACACACACACATACACGCTTGCATACAGTTAAACAGTTATTTGTTATTTGCATTGCATGGAAACGTGGAAAGTGAGACACACTCTCTCTCTCTCTCTCTCTCTCTCTCTCTCTCTCTCTCTCGCTCACACTGCTGACGCTTATCGCATTTTGTCGTGCGCTGCTCAGCAGCTGATCTTGAACGACGTCAGCTTTTCGCCCGCTGCGGCCTTTTTGTTTCAATCGATAAACAAACAAACAACAACAATAACAATGCGAAAAACAAACTGTCGTCAATTGCGTGAGGGCGTCAGCGTCAGCGTCGGCGTCGCGTTATCACAGCAGAGGAGACGGCAAACGCAGACGGCGACGGCGACGTCGACGTCGACGTCGCTGTTGTTGATGTGTTGATTATCAAAAGACGTCAAAGCCAGCACAAAGTATGCGAGTGTGTGTGTGTGTGTGTGTGTGTGTGTGCTGCCCCTATTCATAGCCTTTGCGAGATAAAAATGCCATTAGCTTAAGTTTTCGACTAGCTGATGAAATTTCCAATATATATATATATGCATGAATATTTATAGTGTGGCTGTACATCACAACAAAAAGCGTGCTTAAAAGCAAAGAGAGAGAGAGAGCGAGAGGGAGGGGGAGAGATAGTCACGTGATTGGCGAGTGACCAGCAACAAATGAGAAGAAGAATATGGGGAACATATGTTGCTGCAGCAACACGTCACAACTCTCGCTCTCGCTCTCTTCCTCCCACTCCCCTCCCTTCTCTCTCTCGCTCGACAGTTGTTATCGGGCTTAGACATCTTTGTCGCCTGTCACACGGTTTTTGCATGTGGCAGCCAGCCGACAAACATGAACAAAACGTTTTCTCAAATCAGCAACAGCTGGTTTCAGTTTCAGTCGCATGTGTGTGTGTGTGTGTGTGTGTGTGTGTGTGTGTGCGTGTGTGTTTTGATTTGTTGGCAGCCGCCACAACAGCAGGTGACTGGCAGGCGCGTTGGCGTTGGCGCCGTCGTCGCCGCTGTCTGCAATTGCGACCGACCGCATTTCGCGCTAGTTGCCCGGCGCCAAGCAGCCCCACAAATGCTGCTGCCGTCGAAGGGGTGGGGTGGTGGGTGTTTAGGTGTTAGTCTATGTATCCACAGACTAGCAGGTATTATCCGGTTTTGCTTGGTTCACACAAACATACTATCGGTCAATCAATCAATCAGTCAGTTAATTATGCAAGTAACTCAATTAGTATGTCAATCAATCAATCAGTCAATCAATAGTTCTGTTGATCAATCAATCAGTCGAGTCAATCAAATTATGAACACATTGAATCAGTCAGTCAATCAAACGTTCAATCAATCAGTCAATTGAGATGTATTCACTTTGGTACGGTACTCACTTGCATACTCGCGCCGCGAGTGTATGTCCACAGCGAGGTATACCATGCTGAAGCTACCCTCGCCAATATAACGGCCAAAGATGAAATCGTTTGGTGAACGGCGGGGGGGCTGTGCTGCTTGTATTTGTTGTGCGGCTGGAGGGGGTGGCGGCGGCGTTTGTTGTTGTTCTTGCTGCTGCTGCTGCTGCTGCTGATGTTGTTGTTGTTGCTGCTGTTGTTGTTGCTGCTGCTGCTGCTGCTGTTGTTGTTGCTGTTGTTGTAGCTGGCGTTGATACGACAGCGACTCACGACAACACATTTTGATGCGCTGCGGCGTGGAGACGACTGATGAACTGTTGCTGGCCACCGCTGCTGCCAGAGGCGATGTGTAGCCTATGCGCGAGAGAGAGAGAGAGAGAGAGCGTGCGTTATTTGGGCAACTTGTTGCTAAACGTTTTCTTGTTTTGTTGCTTACCGTTTGTCAGAAACATGTTGCTGCGACTGTAGCGACTGCTGCTGTTATTTATGTTATTGTTGTTGTTCTCTGTGTTTGTTGCCGACGTGGGTGTTGCTGTTGCTGCCGATGCAGCGCCACAGCCGCACGTGTGTTGTTGTTGCTGTTGTTGGTGTTGTTGCTGCTGCTGCTGCTGTTGCAGTCGCGTCGCTGTCGTGGCCATTGCGCCAACAACAACCGCCAGCTCCTTGAGCTTTAGAGCCGAGAAATTTGATTCGCTTAGGGAAACGGCAGTTGTTGCTTTTTCTTTTGGCATCGCCGGCATTGTTGCCGTTGTGTTCATCAATTGTTGCTGTTGCTGTTGTTGTTGTTGTTGCTGCTGCTGTTGCTGCTGTTCGTTGCTGCTGCTGTTGGCAACGCTGCTGCTGCTGCAGCTGCTGCTGCTCGAGGCAGAGACGACAACGGCGGCGGCGGCTGCGATGCTGGCGGCGCTGCTTGGCGATTGAAGCTGCTGTGTGCCGTTAATCTGCAGAAGAGAGAAAGAGCGAGAGCGAGAGAGAGAGAGACCGTTTAATAAAAGTCGTGAGAGCGTCAAAATCAATCAATGCGTGGCTGAGCCTATGTGTGTGTGTGCGAGTGTGTGCGTGTTAATTTGAAAACGCAATAAATTAAAGCGCGCAGTCGCGACCAGCCTAAAACAGACACAAAAACAACAACAAAAAGGCAGCGACAAAGCGGAACTTGCGGAGAGCCACAAGAACAGGTCCCACACACACACACACACACACACACACAGACAGACAGACAGACAAGGCGCAGCGGCCAGAGCGAGACAGGCAGCTTTTTATATTTATTTATTTTGTTAGGCCTACGCTTTATGCTGTTTGTACTTGGCGTGCGGCTGACGTCAAGTTCAAGCTAGTGCTGTCTCGCTCGCACGCACTAGTCTGCCGCTGCTGTCTGGCCCTTGTTGTTGTTCTTGTTGTTGCTGTTGTTCCGGGTTCAAGGACTTAGCATAAAAATATAATAAAGTTCATTGCCACCTGTTTACACATTTCTATAAACTTATTGTGAAATTGTTGTTGCTGGTCAAGAAATCGCTTGTGGCGTGATCTGTTTTGGGCTGTCGGGAGTTGGTGGTTGGGGGGGTGGAGAGGGAGGGTTGGTTGTTACTTGGCCCAGACGACGCGTTGTCTGTGACGGGTTTTTTTTTTCTTTCTTTTTTTCAACAAATCGCAACGTTTGTCGTAAAAACGCAAAATTATCAAATTATGCAAAACGCATGCAAAACAAAGGCAAACGAAAAAAAAAAAACCAAATAAAACAGCAGCAAAAAAAAAAAAACAAATTTAAATAAAAACAAGGTGAGCAAATGCGTCAATGAAAGTCAAAGACGGCAGCTAATTTAAGTCAAAAAGCACAATGGAAAAATGGAACCAGGCTTCAAGCGCACACACACACACACACACACACACAAACAAAAGAATTTCTAATATTATTTATAGGGTATTGTAATTGCGTTAAGAAGAAATCAACTTGAAACGTCATGGAAAATTAATCCAAATAGTGAAATGCAAAACTATATAGAAATAAACTCAAGGAACTCGAAGATTATTGAAGCTAGAGAGCTTAAATATCTTCAGCATCTTTTACTTAGGATTGATGATAAACAATTCGAAAAGACTGAAGAAATTGCAAGCTCAAAGCAAATTACAGGGTATCTACTCGACAATATTTAAGGAAACTTGAGGAACTCTATGATCATTAATGATGGAAAGATTGATGATAAAGCATCCGAGCAAAGGCGCAATTGCAGAGAAAATTACAGGGTATCCAAACACAACTCTTGAACTAAAACCCAAGGAACTCGAAGATTATTGAAGCTAGAGAGCTTAAATACTTGCAGCAGCATCTTTCACTTAGGATTGATGATAAACAATTCGAAAAGACCGAAGAAATTGCAAATTACAGGGTATCTACTCGACAATATTTAAGGAAACTTGAGGAACTCTGGGATCATTAATGAAGAAAGACTAAAGAATCCGAAAAGCACGCAATTGCAGCGCAAATTACAGGGTATCCAAACACAAACTTAAACTAAAACCCAAGGAACTCGAAGATTATTGAAGCCCAAATTCTTCCGGCATAATTTTTTTTTTCTCTTATAAATAAGAAACAATTCGAAGGGCATCGCCAAAAACTGCAATCGAAAATTACAGGGTATCTGCCTGACGTCACATAGGCAGACGGCCACGCCCTAACTATGCGAATGGCACTCAAAACATAAACAAAACATATCCAAAAACAAATATACAATTCATTTTGGATTTTCAAACTGGCCGCAACCTACTTTTATTTGATTTGGTTTTAATATCTTGAATTTGACTTTTGTTTTGGATCTTTGCTTTGTTTTTTTTTCATCTTGGCTAATTAGCCACAGTTTTTGGGCCTCTCATCTGCGTCACAGATCGCAAACTGGTCAAAAAAAAAAAAAAAAAAAAACCATAAAAATCGAGCATACAAAATAATTAAAACAACAACAAGAACAAGTAACAGGAAACGCGAGGCTAAAAAAAAAAATGCGAAATCTTTGGAGCACCTTCTGATTATAGATAGATTTATATGTGAACTTGGATTTGTAGAGCACATCAAATATATATATATATATATGTGTGTTTATGTATATAATTCTGATTGAAACATGTCACTTGTGCATGGCATCGTACACTGAGAGAAAAGTACGTAGACGTTTGTGCGAAACGCGTGAAAGATGGGTGAAAATGGAAACGATTTGTTCGGATTTGCGGAGAACATTTTTAATAATTTATTGTAATTTTTTTTTTTTTTTGATTTCTCTTTATTTTTACTAATTCTTGGCCCACATTTTTTGTGCGAGTGCATGAAATCGCAAAGAGTATGTGGAAAATTTTGAAAGCAAAACAAATCTGGAACGCGCCCCCTCATTTGTGTGCGTGGGCGTGTTGCTTAGCGCACAAAACATATGACCGAACGTGGGGCATGCTACTTGCATACATACCCTACACACACACACACACACACACACACACACACACACACATGTATATGTATGTATGTATACTAGATGTACGTATATTTAGATCTATTCTATGGCGATCCGATCTGACGACGTTGGCGGCGTCTAGACAAAAATGACATTTAAATGAATCTATTTTATTGTCGCTTCGTCGCCATTTCAACATAGAACCCACCTCCAATTCGTAGCACCAACCCTACCCCCCCCCCCCCTTGTCTCCTCTACCCCTGCCAACATCCTCTTGGTCTTCAATTGAGTTTTATAAATAAAAATTTCTGTCTAGCGCGCGAATTGCAACCAATTGAAAGAAGACAAAAAAAAAATACCGGGGAAAACAGAAAGAACTGCAAGCAGCAGCAAGGGGGTAGGAAGGGGGGCAGGGGAGGGGGTGTTCTGGGGGTATTACAAGGTGTCTGTTGGGTGTCGCCTCGCAGCCCGAAAAAGAAATGCGCTAAATTTATGTACATAGAAACAGGCAAACAGTCGTAAAAAAAAGTGTTTATTTAAACGTAAATACAAAAAAAAAGAAATTAAAAAATATATAGAAAAATTGAAAAATATATTTCGAATATTTTTCTTACTGCAGCAGTAGAACTTGCAGTAAGGGGAACAGCCTAACTGGCGAGTTATCTGAAGCAGCAGTAACTTACTGCACAGTAAGTTATCAGCAGTAAAATTACTGACTGCAGCAGTAAGTTCACTGCAGTAAGTTCACTGCTGCAGCATTTGCTATACCAGACTGAGCAGTAAGTCCTTCTCGCGCAGCAGTAAGTTTACTGTACTGCACAGTAAGTTGTCAGCAGTAAAATGTCTGACTGCAGCAGTAAATACACCGCTCAAGACCTTCCCTATGCAGCAGTTGCTCTTCTAGACCCGCTTTCGTTCAGCAGTAACTTTACTGCGCTGCACAGTAACGAATCTAGACGTAGCAGTAATTCTACTAAAGCTTACTGTATGCTTAGACTGGGCAGTAACTCTTCTGGCTGCAGCAGTATGTCTTACTGGACAAATAGTCAGCGCAGTAACTCTTCTAGCTGCAGCAGTAACTTTGCTTCAGACTGCGCAGTAAGTTTACTGCAGTAGCAGTAGGTTACTGCGCTGAGTATTAAGTTTACTGCAGCAGCAGTAGGTTACTGCGCTGAGCAGTAACTCAGCCAAAGGGCAGCTGCAGCAGTAGGAGAAATCAAATGTTATGAGATTCAAATAAACACGCCTACCCCAGCAGAACCCGCAGTAGAAGCCCCCCACCCCCCCTCTAACAAACGCTTTTTTGTGGGCGTGAATGAAAAATTGAAAGAAAAACCAAATACGTGGAAAATATGGCACGGAAAAATTCGCAAAAAAAAAAAAATAATGTGCGTCTATTTATAGCGAAGCGGGCAATAATAATACGAGTATTTCGGAATTATTTTATTTTATTATAAAATTTTTGTTTTTTTTTTTTCTGGCGACATGTTTTGCATAATTTTGGGCTATTTTGCTGAGATCAAGTGGGGTAGGTTTCTCTATAAAGAGAGAGGTGCGTGTTGGGATTTTTTCGATTGGGTAAAACCCGATCAGTTTTTTATTTTAATTTTTTTTTATTTCGATTTTTTTTTTTTTTTGATTAGAATTAACGATTCAACGATTTACGATACCTGCATTGGGAATTGAAATGAATTTTTGCAAGCGGCTTCTTTTCGACGATTCGCAGGAAACGGCGTGTAAACGCTGAACAGAAGAAACACATTAACAAAACAGAAACGAAGAGAAACGAAAAAAGAGATAGATAGAAAAAAAAAAAAAAAACAAAATCGGAAGGAACAAAATTCGACGAATTGAACGTTAGGATTTGGATTTATGAAACGGTAAACGCAAAGCCTGCTGCGGGCGGCAAGGCGGACACACAAGGCAATTGGCAAAGAACGCAAAGCTAACTGTTTTGTATTTGTGCTGCTTCTTTCATGCGAGCGGAAGTTGTAAAAATGCGCTTATGAATGAAAATGCACGCAGTGCAAAAACAAACACAAACACAAAAACAAACAACAACAGAAAATAACACATGCAAATGCAAACTGCAAATTCCAATTGGAACAAGCTCGCTCGCGCACACACACACACACACGAAACATTCCGCTACATAATACACACACACACACACACACGCAGAAAGAGAGACGCACGCTCTCCCACTCTCTGGCTCTAACTCTGTTTGGCTTACGTCGTTTACATTGGAGCGCGCTCTGTTTGTGTATTTTATGTTGTAATTGCGTTTTACGGTACAAATTCCAATGGGCCACGCACTGAGAGTCTGCCATACAAGAAGAAGCAGATGCGCGCGCGTTTATTTTTTATCAGTGTGTGTGTGTGTGTGTGTGTATTTAATATTTATTTGGCTTGTGAAATTTGCTTACACCAAATTTTTGCACTTATAAATTTTCAGGAATTCACATTTAATAATTTTTTTTTTTGTCTTTCGTATGTTCGCAAGACCAAAAATTTCCATGAAAAAAAAAACCACAACGAATGAAAACAGGAACACGAACCAGAAAAATGATGACGACGTTTGTTGTTGTTGTTGCTGCTGCTGTTGTTGTTGTTGCTGTTGTAGTGCGTGTGTATTTAGGAACTTCTTGTTGAAACTTTTTGTTCGTTTTTGCTATTTAACGGAATTTCGAACGGAACGAAAACGAAACCACAAACACAACAATTTATGCAATGAGAACTAGAAGTTCTGCTGTTGCTGCTTCCTCTTATTTATCTATTTACTTTTCTTTTTTTTTTTTTAACTTTATTTGTAATGTAATTTGTTTGGCCTTTTGCGGTGTATTATTTAATCGCACTAAGAAGAGCGCGCACACACACACAAGCACATGTATATAGACAAGGCTTGGGGCGTTTCGCAAATGTGTGCGTGCGTGTGTGTGTGTGTGTGTGTGTGTGTTTGAGCGAAACGCGTGCACAAACGAAACGACGACACGTCCGGTTTCAAAGCGCCACAAAAACTAATCAGAAGCGAAAAACAGAAAATGATGTGAGCCCCAACAAGCAGCAGGCAGTCGCAGTCGCAGCCGCAGCAGCAGCGCACGAGAGAGCCGAACGGCAATGAGAGCGAGCCGATGTTATATGTTCATAATGGGGCCAAAGCAGCGCAGCCGCCGCTCAATGAGATTTGTTGTTGTTCGGCGCTGGCGCCTTCAATATATATATATATATATATTTTTTTTCTTCTTTTACAAGGCGAACAACTTGTGCGCCAGGTCGTGAGAGCGCACAGATTGAGAGCGGGCCAGACAGCGAGAGAGAGAGAGAGAGAGAGTGAGCGCCTGGTAATTGTACGTTCAATGCTTTATGATTGTTGTTGTATGTACATAATATTGGTCTAGGTTTTCCATACACACGAATGCCATCCACACAACATACGCACCCCCCTCCCTGCCTCTTGCAAATGCTGTTCACAAGGGAGAGCGCGAGTGTGCGTTTTGTTTTCGTTGCTCTTTTCTTTATTTTGTTTTTGTTTCAAGAGGCACCCGCATTCCTAACTGTAAACAAGCAAGAAGAAGAATGCATGCTCTGGCCGCTCTGCCTGGAAAAACTCGTTTTTCCCGCTGGAAAAATGTGCGGCACACAACATACAAAAAAAAAAAAAAAAAAAAAAACCAAACAGAAAAAGAATTTCAAGAATTTGTTGCCCACAAGAGAGCGCGTAAAGCGACGACGAGATGTAAAAATAAACAACAAAAGTCGGGTGGAAAAACACGAAGCATACACACACACACACACACACGCGAGCATACACAATACGTGTAGGAGAGACAAGGACAAGGAAGCGGCGAACAAAACAAAATGTATGCGTGTGTGTGTGTGTGAAACGAAAACGAAGGCAAAAGACAAGACACAAACAAGAGACAATAATAACACTAACAACAACAACAACAACAACAACAACAGCAACGGGGCCTGAGAAAAAGCCTGTAGTAAACAAAATAAATGGCGGGCGCGGCTGCGACAGCAACAGCAACAGCGACGCCAACGTCGACGCCGACGTCAACGTCAATGTAAATAAATATTATAAAATATGCAATTGTGTGCGTGTGTGTGTGTGTGTGTATCATGCACAAGTGAAAGGCGCAAAAGGAAACAAAGTCTGTCTGTGTGGAAGAGAGAGGGAAGCTGCGAGCGGGGCTGAGGCCGATTACAGTGAAAATGAAATAAATAAATAAATTGATTTATTATTTAGTTGTTATTTTTTTTTCACTTCCCATTGTTGCTTTTTCTTGCGCCTTTTTTAATTGTCAATAAAAAGCGAAGAGAGAGAAAAAAAAAACACAGCTGCCAGAAAAACAATTTAATTGCAATTTGTTGTTTTGTTTAACGAATGCAAAAACAAATCTAACAACTATTTGATAAATATTTGTTTTTTTTTCTTCTTTTATATAAAGCAAAATAATTTAACTATTTACGCATTCAAATGTTGTTTTTCTTTATAATTTATTTTAATTATTGTTGAATCAATTTTTTTTCGCTCAAAATTTTGTTAGAAATTAAATTTAACAAATTTAAATAAAAATTCTGCAGTTCGCATTTTTTTGTAATTTTGTAAAAGATGTATTTTCGCATTTTGCTTAAATATAAATTTTGAGCACATTTTCAAGTTAAAAGTTTTTTATAATATTCAGATTTTTTTATAGCTTTCTTTTCATAAGTTTTTCAATAATAATTATTTACATAATTTTAATATAATATTTCTCTAAAATTTTTTAAACATAAAATTTTTGGATATTTTCAAAAAGAGTTTGAATATTTTTCTGCCAAAATTTCGAACTTTTCTTTTCTATTTTTTTATTATTGAGTTGTGCTTTTTTAATACTTAATTTAAAAAGAAATTGAACAAATCTTGAAACACATTTAAACAAAGTCTTAACTTTAATAAATGTTTTTTTGTTTTTTTAATTTTTCTAGAATATTTTTATTATTATTTTGTTTTTTTGTTAAAAGTGAACATTTACCTTTATGGACTTTAATCTTCGCACAACAAAATTGTTGATTTTATTGGACCAACTTTTGCATTTCATGAGTAGGCCGTTGCGGGGGGAGTGCGGTGGCTGTTGGGTAGGAGCTGCGATCCTGAACCAAGCGCACACACACACGCACACAGATGCGTTCAGTTAATGTTGAAACGAAATTTGAATGCGTTACAAAGTAAGGGGTTTTGTAACGTGTTGGCTGAACTGGTCACACTTTTCTAACGGTTGAGTTTTTTTTTTTTTTTGCTTTTGCTTTAAATAGTTCCGTTATGCTTTGGGCTTTTTAACAGTTATTTTTGCTGTTTGCCATTTCTTGTGTTTTTATATTGTGCTTCACTTAACCATATTTCGGTTTACAGTTAACAGTTAATGCTGGACACACGAGAAAAACACAAAGTGTACACTACAAAAATTGTTTGTCTTTTATTTTTTTTTTCTTTGAGTTTTGTTGTTTATTTTGATATAATTCCTTTTTGCTAGGCTTCCGTTTAACAGTTTGGCGCGCGCGTTGATTTATACCACAAAAGGAGTGTAAATCACAAAAGAAAACGAGAAAAACAGAAACACGACGGCCGACTGGCGATTTATTTGAAAATTGTGCTGTTCGCGATGCGCGCTTCCAACCAAACGGTAAAAAGTTTCAAATGGAACTGAAAGTGCTGGAGCAAGAGGCTATGCGAGTAAGCCACAAAAACATACAGCGCAACTGTAAACAACATGGCATGTGAAACACCGCACAGCTAAACAGAGAGAGTGAGAGAGAGAGAGCGCGCTGCAATAGCAACGACCGTGTTTCAATTCCAATTGTGCTTGCCAAACGGGCTGTCTGTCTCTGTGTGTGTGTGCGTGTGTGTGTGGACTGTGGGCCACTGCTCAATTGCAATGCATTGAGTCCAGTTCCTTGCAGTTGCACACACACACGCACACAGGCGCATGCATACCAATTTATGTTCCATTAGCGACGCCGGCGCCAAAGCAGCGCATGCACCGTTAGAAGCATTGATCGCAAAGAGCATTAAGAGGGCGCCAGCAGAGACGCACTAGCTTAATAAGCCCCTCTCCACTCCTTTACAACCCATCCCACCCATCATTGTGCTCTGATTTGCGTACAAAGAATCAATCAAAGCGTACCGTTATTTCGCTTTGCATAGCGTTTAACAGTTGCTGCATTATTTATGACAAAATGACGCACTTGTTTTTGTGTCTGCACGGAAAAGCCATGACTCAGATGAAATGTCTCTCGAGCTTTCGATGCTGCGCTCATTTTGCTGCTGTTGTTGTTGTTGTTCTTCGTGCATATTTGTATGTTGTTCGCTTCCCCCAATTAAAGACACGATTGGAATTTGAACTATTTGCCGCTGATCGGGTTGATCGCTCTTTGCGGTTCATTTCGTTGCAACGCATTCCACACACATACACTCCACAGTTCACTCGCTCGCTGTGAAGAGAGCGCTGTTTGCTGTTCCGTTGCCAGTTCGTTCCTTGTTTTGGTTTCCATTTCAATGTGTGTGTGTGTGTGTGTGCAAAGCGCGCGCATTTTTCGTGCTTGTGTGTAGAAATTCACTTGTCTAGCTGCTGCTGTCGCTGCGCTGCTCTCGTTTACGTTTTTACTATAAAACGAACGGAAGTCGAACACGCTGGCGAGCGAGAGCGCATGCATGCGAGTGCGAGCGGGACGCAGCGAAAACAAAACATTAAATTTAAGGGGAAGCTACGTTTGAGGCCAGCAGCCGCTGCAGGCTGCACTGCCAGCTGCGCTGTTCGCTGCCCGATGCTCGCGTCGCAGTCAGCGTCGGCGTCGGCGTCGTTTCGTCACAACACAGCACTTTTCAGGCGCTTTGTTGTTGTCGTTCGTCTTCTTCTTCTTAGTGTTGTTGTTGTTGTTGTTGTTGCTGCTGAGGTATGCGTCGCATAATTTGAATGCAAATTTCTTGCAACATTTTTATTTAACAATCTAGAAATTTCCCATACACAAACATATGGGCGGGCCGATAATCTAGACGAAAATGCGGCACGATTAGATAAAGTGCCAAATAAATACTCAAAATTGGAGTACAAAATAAGTGAGTGCTACTAAATTTAGTTAATTGCTACGATATGATAGGCTCTCAAGATTATAGAACCTATTCGGAAATTGGGCTCGAATTCAATGCGAATTTTCCAGAATTCAGAAACGGAAATTTAAATTTTAAATATTGGGTCAAATATAAATATCCCTTATTTTTAGAATTTGTTTTATATATGTATAACTTTTTTTCACATTAAAACAATTTCTTATAGTCCTATATAATCCTATGAAACCCATTAACTCTCAGGCATAGTCCAATAATAGATAGATACATATTTATAAATATTTAAAAATTTTATAAACTTTCTCTGGAATGATATGAACAACTGGAACCAAGTCCATTTCATATCAATACTCTGTCTATTAGCACTAAGTATACCAAATTTTCGGTTCGTCGGAATTTAGAAACTTGAGTTGTGAACGGGCCATATAAATTGTCATATCATATCTTGACTTTAACTAACCAAAATAACCGTAGAATTTGAAGCATGTTAAGAATTACGACCTGACAAATGCTTACAGACAAATTTATTTAATCTGCCCATATATCATAGACTTGATAACTACTGCTGACATATGCTATGGCATTATATTGTTGATTTTAAAGGCATTATTCAAGTACAACAATCGAGAATAGTTTAGCAACAGTTTCTGGTTAATCGCAGGTCTTGAAGTCGAGTTATGAATAGGCTATTCGAACTATCTCGTCATATCTCGACTCTTATTTGAGGCATTTGCGTTGAATTTGAGGAATTTGATGACTTATGACCATATAAACAGTTCCCGACAAGCTTAACGGGAACGCGTGTCAGGAAGTCGAGTTATGAATGAGCTTTACGAATTGTTATAATATATTTTGGGACAAGACATGATGCAAGTGAAGTAGCCATAGAAAGACTGCTGACTAAGCGACTAAGCAAAAAAGTGGTGTGACTATGCTAGTCTAGTATATGGTATAGTATGATATAATATACCCTATAAATATCAATGGACTTTTGGGGTATTTTACAGGCACATCAAATAGCTATAATCCAGCACAAATTTGATGACAATCGCATGTCGGGAACTCGAGTTACAAATAGGCTATTCGAGTTACCTTGTCATATCTCAACTTTTACTTGGCGAATTACTGTGGAATCTGAAACATGTGATGACTGATAACCTAATAAATAGTTTTAGACGAAATTGATGAAAATCGCTCGTCAAGAACTCGAGTTATAACGTCATATCTTAACTTTTACTTGGGGCATTACTAGAGAATCTGAAGAGAGTGAGCTATGAAGACCCTATACACAGCTTTAGACTAAATAGCTATAATCCAGCACAGATTTGATGACAATCGCTTGTCAAGAACTCGAGTTATCAATAGGCTATACAAAATTTTAAGTCATATCTGGACTCATGCTTCAGCAATTTCCGTTGTACTCAAGAGAATTTGACAAATGACGCCGAGTCAAGTTCGGGACAACTTTCGCTTGTTAAAAAGAAGTTAAAATAATCTTTAAAAGAGATCAATAATTTTTGTTGCTTAGGCTTAATGGGGAATTGCGGTTCGTGGACTTAATAAAATCAATTTGCAGCTTTATTTCATTTATTTTTATTCGATTTTTATAGTTTATGGTTAATTCTTTCTACTAATTTAATTTAGTTTTTATTTATTTATGGCTGGATTTAAATTTTCTCCAAAAAAAAAAAAAAAAACGTTCATGTTTATTTTAGTTTTTGGGGATTTTGTTTTTATGGTTTTTCGATTTTAGCTGTTAGCATTTTTTGGCTAATTCATTTGTTAATGAGCAAACAAAAAGTTTTAGTTTTATTTTTCTCTTCTTAGTTGCGGCTTATACTACGCTTCTTCTTCTTTTTTAAATTGTTTGAATGTGTGTTTTTGTTTTTTTTTGGCGAAAATATTTAGTAAATTAGCATTTTTAATGGGCAACAAGACGAGACACAATGTCGCCTGGGCCAAAGCTGAAAATTGAATAGAAATAAAACACGGCTGCTGGGATTTGCATAAAAATCGGGCGAAACCAAAGTCAAGACTCGGGGGCCGAGCCTTATGCTGTTGTTGTTGTTGTTGTTGTTGTTGTTGTTGTAATTGTTTAGCATAAAACAACAATTTCTCAAATCGCAGACTTCGCTCACGCATTCCCCGAATCATTAGCGCGAATTTCAAACTTGATAAATGAACGGCGCATATTTGAACAGAGTTCGGTATTTTGTATTTTGTTTTGTTTTTTAAGGCTTTGGCCTGGTCCGCAGAGATCACAGCCCGTATCGCTGATCACTTTGTTCACCTGTTCCGTTTAATTGGCGGCCCCCGAGAACCGGTTTCGAGTTAGTTTTTGTTATCTCATACCCTGTAACCAGTGCAAGGGTATCATGTCTGGATGGCTGGACAGGCTAGGCGAAACATTCTCAAAACCAAAAATCATATAAACATGCTCTTGTTCTCGCTTCAGACATGCCCATCTGTCTGTCCGCTTCTAATAAAGCTTCTTTCTCGAAAACTGAACTTGTAATGGGAATTGTATATACTTTTCTATAGCTATAGATTATTATTGAAACTAGAAGAGAAAGAGCTTTGAAATTTTGGATGCACACATGGTTGAGTGTCAAATTTAAGCACTGAAAATTTTATAAAGATCGGACTGTAAACACCAGAGTTACATAAGAACTTCTTCCTATAAATGGAGCAACTGCAAGAAGCACAAGGAGAAGAAGAAGCACAGCTATTGCTTTAGGTGCGTGTGTTTTGTTCTTCTTTTTTTCCAGCTTCTAGCTTAGCTCAGTGCCTAGGGTATCTGCCAGTCGTGCACTGCCGATGTGATTTTGTCTTTTTAGCTTTTGTGACTCAATTGAACGCAACACTCATTTAGTTGTCACTAAGTTAGCCCATTAATTATGAGTAGCCCAGAGCGCTAAATATTGACCCTGGGTTGGTCTTTACCTCCTTTTTGAAGGGGGGTAGGGGGACTTTGGCCAATTATGTTTGAAGTTTTACAATTTTGTCAGTGAAAGCGAGAAAAATGTTCGTTTTTTTAACATATTATTTTTTGCCCTAATGATCAGTTGAGTGCGGCGTGAATATTCATACTCATATTCATTCAAGCTGCGGGCACTCAACTCTTAATATAAGCTACTAAATCGCCACGTAATCAATTCCAAAATAACCAATTTTTATTTCATTTTTAACATATTGCGTCGCAAAAGGTTGAAGGTCGTTTTGAGTTGACAGAAACTGTGCATAACTTGACTTCTGTCCAAATTTTCAGAATTTATAGAAACTTTAATACAATTAAGTAGGAAGGGTTTTAACTAATAGCCATAAATATACTTTATTTTAGGAAAAGAAAGCGGAGGAATTATACTTAGGGAACGAAGTTTCATAGCGAAATTTGAAGATGTATTCTAAAGCCTAGATCTTGATTTTTAACCTATGCTTTAGCATATTTGCAGAGCTCTTAGACATATATATGTACATGTATGTTCATATGTACGTACATGCATACATACATTCATACATACATATGTATATACATACATACATACATACATACATATGTATTCACATACATACGTACATTCATACACATAC